GAGAAATGAGGAGAAATGAGGAGTGGGAGGAGAAATGAGGAGGAGGAGAGGAAGAAAATGAGAAGGAGAAGGAGAAGGAAGAAGAGGGAGAGGAAGAGGAGGAGTAGGAAGAGGAAGAGGAGGAGGAGGAAGAGGAAAGCAGCAGCAGAGGGGGGAGAAAAGAGAGGGGGAAAAGAAGGAAGCTATAGAATAACATTTAGAGAAAAATGGGAAAAAAGAAAATCTAGTAAAAAGAAAACAAAAATGTGGCAGTGGGAAGGGACAAACAGGAAAAAAAGGAAGAGAACGTCCTACAAGAGGTGGAAAAGTCAGACTAAGAGGACTGGGAAGAGCTAGAGAGAGGAAGCAGGAATGGCAGGGGAGGAAAAGGATGAGCTGTAGATGAGGAAAAAGCAGAATGAAAAAAAAGCAGGAAAAAAAGAAAACAGGAGAAAAAGAAAGAGAAGAATGAAGGGAATGATTTCAAATGATAAAAAGAAAGACCAGAAAAATTAAAAGATAACGGAAGACTTTAAGAACAAAGAGGATAAGCAGGAGAAAAAGAAAGCATAAGTGCAGGAATCAGATGAGGAAAAGCAGAAAAGGAGGAAGGAAGAGTAGAGGAGCTGGAGAAGGAAAAGAAAAAGCAGAATGAAAAAAGAAGAGGAAGACAAAAAGAATGAGAAAGAGAAAAAGGCAGATCAGTAGAGGAGGATATGAAAGAACAGGAGGTAGGACAATAGCTTAAGGAAAAAGAGGAAGAAGGAAAAGGATGGGGAGGTAATGGAAGGCGGAGGAGGAGGAGGTAAAGGAAGGCAGAGGAGGAGGAGGAAAAGGAAGGAGGAGAGAGGAGGAAAAGGAAGGAGGAGGAGGAGGAAAAGGAAGGAGGAGGAGGAAAAGGAAGGAGGAGGAAAAGGATGTGGAGGTAAAGGTAGGAGGAGGAGGAGGAAGAGGAAGACTTAGTTATAAAGGAAGAGTATGTAAAAAAAGGAAGAATAGGTAAAATAGGAAGAGTAATAGGAAAAAGAAGAGGAAGAGGAAAAAGCTGAAATCATGGGAGAAAAAGAAGACAACAAGAAAGAGGGGAAAGCTAGAAGAAAAAGATAAAGAAGGAAGAAAAAGCAGAACTGATGAAGGAAAATGAATAGCAGGTGGAGGAAAAGACATAACAAGATGAAGAAAAGAATGAGCAAGAAGAGGAAAAGGAAGAGCAAGAAGAGGAAAAGGAAGAGCAGGAAGAGGAACAGACAGGAAGTGGAAACAACTGAGAAAGACAAAAAAGGAAAAAACAAAATAACAGGAACCTTCTCCCCGACACCCATCAATTAAAACACAATACCAACACTGCTAATAACCATCTCTACTTTTCCCTTACCTCTACATTGCCATCATCTTCAGTCCAACAGGCCACAGGATGATGGTTGTCAAACATGACCCTCCCCGCTCCTGCTTCTTGCGAGAGAGTGAAGCCATCATCCATGAGGATTTTGGCATTTTGCAAGTTGATCTGCGGGAACAGAGGTGGTTTGTAATACACACACATGAATGAGCGGAGAGAAACTTATGCATTAAAATATAATGCACATCGCATAGAGATTATAAATTAAATACAATACATCGGGATCTCCAATTTTTATTAACCCCTACAGTCTGGGTGACATGACCATCCTGTCATGGAAAAATATGGGTTGAGGGCCAGGTAAGGTGAACACATGTTTGCCTTACCCAGCCAAAATGACCATGGACTGGGTGATGGGAACTTGCAGTCATGATCGAAGGCCTGAGTGATGAAAAAAGCTTGCCCGAAGTGCACAGGCCTCTTGGAGTGTGATTAGACTCATTTGGCACTTGGAAAGGGGGCTTTTGAATTATTCCTATTGATAAATGAATGTGGAATGTAAAGTGTGTAAGTCATGATTGGAAGAGCACCAGCTCCAGGGAGAACCCAATTTCCATGCTCAGCATCATATTCCTGGCCACTGTGACCGGTGGCATTGGTTGTATTACAGAAAATTGAAAAATATGAAAAAATGTGGTATATGACACAAATAACCAAATGTTACTTACTATATAGAGATGATATAGAGTCTATGCAAGGAAAATAATCTATTACCATCTGGATAAAGCAAATTAAAAGACAAATATGCACATGGAAAATAGCAAAAAAGCTAAAAAAAGTTTACACAAAATAACTTTGCAAAGGGGAGGCACAGACTCTTGTCACTGCTCAAAAGTGTTCGCATGAATGCAGCCTACATGCTGCATGCCCAGGACATTGGCCACTTATATAACTGGCAATATTTTAAGCACTGTAATTTACATGACGCAACCAGATCTAACAGGTTAAACTAAAAGTGTATCAAAATAGTATTTCAAAATGAGTGAAGAGATGTATCTCTTTTTCTATACAGCTACATAAACAGGAATTAGAGTATATCACTGAAATGAAAGAAAGAAAAAAAGGAGCAAAATAAGGATTTACAAGTAAAAAAAAACAGGACATGTCTCACAGAAAAAAAGACAACCATAAGGAAGGAAAGAAGAAGAACCACGAAGAAATAGAAATAAGATCCTAGAAGAGAATGAAGAACAAACATAAATTAAATACAAGAAGAAAAGAGGGGCATAGTATTCACAAAAGGTATTTGGCAAATTGATGAACTGCCCAAGAACCAGTATTCGACTACAAAATCATTGTAGAATTTACCTTTGACTCATTTTACAGACTGTCCTTATGCAATTTTGTCTTTGACTTGCACTGATGCCACATTTCAAAGTTATTTAAATAGTACAAAAATTCAAATGTTAAAAGGCCCTATAATAATAGTCTAATGTTGTAACAGCAGAAAATCACTACTGCAGTATATAGTGACTAAAATATCAACTATTTACTATCTTTTCTATATCTGCAAGGCACTCTCTACATTTGTCCTTGCTTCAGCTGAGAAGGAATACAGTGCCATTTGTATTTATGAACAGGAAAACTGCAGTAATCACAAAGGAACCAGCTCAATTAAAGGTTGACAAAAAGTAAAAAAGTAGCAGGAAGGATTTCCATATCATTACTGATGCAGAGTTGTACAACAGTAAAATCACATTATTTCTGTCAGTGTCTCATAAGGACAATTCAAAGACAATCCTTACACATGTAGGACATCTTCAGACCTGTCTTTAACTTTGGCTGAGTCACAGACAAAAAACAGGCACTAAGGACATTTTTGCAAGGAGTTCAAGACAAAATTGAAATCAAACACTTTTTCAGTCAAAGTCAAATTTTGGAGTCTAAGACATTTTGTGAATGCCACCCTAGGATTTTAACCAAGCAACATCCATCCTCAAATGACATTCCTTGAAACTCAACCTCATACCTTTCTAATACTTACTCCTTAGTATTGCCACACACATGTCGATTTGCCGTGAGTGCAGCCTTCGTTGCAGCAGCCATAGAGTTTAGCCAGGGTGACCCCTTCCTCACCATGATGGCCTGGAATGCAAGGGTGTGGAGGTGCAAACGTGTCAGCCTTCTCTTCCCACCCACCTCTGGGGTGTCCCCCAATTGCCTGCAATTCCGAGACAAAAAATACATCTGAGTGCACGTGGGCATGCTGCTGGATTCATAAGACAGAACAAAAAAATAATTTCTGTACAGCAAGTAAAAGGCACTACTGACATAACAAATTCAATTTCCAACAGAAATCCTTCTGACACAGTTACAATACGATTCTGGCATGACTAACTTAATAGACCTATCTCAACTCACTTGAAAATGTCTCGCATCTGATCAAGAACAACAGCAACACGAGGGTTGAAGTCTGACACTAGACTGACGTTTCCATACTTCATCATACTGTACAGATTTGGAAGTTCCTGCAACACGGACATATGACAAAAGGGTAGAATATTATAACTTTCTTATAAAATCAATCTTACTTATGATTTGAATCTCAATAACTAACAACTATTTCAATCATAGATTTATATGTATATATTATATATATATATATATATATATATATATATATATATATATATATATATATATTATACACAACATATATATACTTATACATAAATATATACATCAATATATGGAAACATAAATTTATACATACATATATATTCATAAATATATACATGAATATATAAATACATAAATATATACAACCATAAATATATTCATAAATGTATAAATAAATATATATATCCATATATGTATACATAAATATATACAAACATAAATGTATACATAAATATATACATACAAATATGTATACATAAATATAACACACACACACACACACACACACACACACACACACACACACACACACACACACACACACACACACACACACACACACACACACACACACACACACACACACACACACACACACACACAAACACACACACACACACAANACCTCTCTCTATCTATCTATCTATCTATCTCTCTCCCCCTTCCCTCCCTCCCTTCGCTCCCTCCTTCTCTCCCTCGCCATTCCTCCCGTCCCTCCCCCTCTTCCCTACCCCGCTCCTTCCTCCCTCTCTCCCCCTTCCCGGCCCCCCCTTCCCACTCTCCTTCATGCCCCATTTACACTCCCTTATTTTCTCCGTCACCCTTCTCACTCCCTTTCTCCCTCCTCGCTTCCTTCCCCCTCTCCCCTTCCTCACTGTCTTCTCTCCCCCTCCCTTCCCCCCCACGCCTTCTCCCTCTCTCCGTGCCCTCCCTTCATCGCTCTTCCCTTCCCCTCCCCTACCTCTCCCCTTCCCCCTACCTCCCCTCCCCCCTACACTCCCCCTCCCCCCGTACCTCTCCCCTTCCCCCTTCCTCCCCCTCCCCCTACCTCTCCCTTCCCCGTCTCTCGCAGTATCACCAGTTTCCAACCCCCGGTCTCCCTCCTGAGTTCCGCATTGAATGCGCCTGTTTTGTGATGGGGGCGAGGATTCTGGGAGAGAGAGGAGGAAGGAGAGGGAGAGGCAGAGGAGAGGGAGAAACGAGGTGAGTACGAGAAACAGAGGGAGTACGCAGAAGGAAGGAGAAGAGAAAAGATAGGGTGTGGGAGAGGGAAAAATGTAAAAGGGAGATGAAAGCGATTTGAAAAACTTAAAGATTTTAAGTTTTTTTTTAAATTTGGTTTCAATTCCATTTGTTACAATAGATACTTCTCTTTGCATGTGACTAATGTTCTGTTTTGTGTTGCTTCTAAACTCCCCCTGTGTGCAAGGAATGGCCGGGGTTACCATCAACTGGTAGCGCGCAGGATCCACACGCAGCGTCAGCGAGCATTGCAAGACCAGCACTGATTACTATTGCACTAGATAGGCACACAAAGCAGTGGGAGGAGGAGAAGAAGAGGAGAGGAGAAGAGGAGGAGGAGGAGGAGGAGGAAGGAGGAGGAGGAGGAGGAGAGGAGGAGGAGGAGGAGGAGGAGGGAGGAGGAGGAGAGGAGGAAAAATGAAAAGGAGAAAGGGAGGAAAACAAAGGAGATTAGTATTAGCAGAGGAGGAGGAGATACGAGAGGTGACACAGACAGCCCGATTTCGACTGAAGGAAACAGACAGAGCCAAGTCCCGCCTTCTTCCTGTTGCAACATCCGGTTACGGGAAAGAAAAAACGGAAGGAAGTCAGCGGTGCGTTTATCTGAACAATTAGTTAAGCGTCGTTCGCTGCAGGAGGGGGGGGTTGATTGAGGCGGCAAGGTAGGATGGCGGCGTTGGGGGGGGGGGGGGTTGGCGTGACACGGCTGCGGTCACGGTCGGTTAGGCGGCGTTTAGCGGAGCTGTTTGCTCCTCCCCTCCTCCTCCTCCTCCTCCTCCTCCTCCTCCTCTCCTCCTCCTCCTCTCCTCCTCCTCCTCCTCCTCTTCCTCTTCCTCTTCCTCTTCCTCTTCCTCTTTCCTACTCGTCTTCCTCTCTGATTTATCTTCCCAATATTCCCTTACGTCTCGTTTACTTGCTGTCACGAGGGATTACGAGACAAACACCACAGCATCCAAGCTTTTTTTTCTCTCCCTCTATCCTCCTCACCTCCCTCTCTCTTCCCCTTCTATTCCTCTCTTTCCTCCCCTTCCCCTTCTCTTCCCCTTCTCTGTCTCTTTCTCCTCCCTTTCTTCCGCCTTTCCTTCCCTCCCCCACCTTCCCCCATCCTCCCCCTTTCCTTCCCCCCCTCCCCCTTCTCCTCCCTCCCCATCCCCCCCTTCCCTTCCCTCCCCCATCCTCCTCCGTTCATTCCCCCTGTTTCCCCAACCTCCCCCAGCCTTTGTACAGTCGACGTCGCACGCCCACGACCGGCATTGTTATCCCGAGGGCGTGAATAACAACGTGGGCGGAGATGGAGATGTAATGACGATGCAGATAATGAGTATTGACAGTCTAAGCTCCCTTCCCCCCCTCCCCACCCCCTCCGCGCCCCCCCTCATGCCACCCCACCTCATCATCTGAACCTCAATCCCACTCCCCCTCTCCTCTCCCTCCTCCTCCCTCTCCCCTGTCCCTCCCCCTGCCCCTCCCCCACCACTTGCTCTTCCCCCTCCCTCCACCCCTCCCCCTTCTCTACCCCCGTCCGTCAATTGCATGATGTGCAAGTTGACCTGGAAGTTACAGGGCTTAATGGCAGTATAAATAGACAGAAAGACAAACGGAAAGGGAGGAGGGGGGGGGGGCGGACGAAAAGGCAGATAGACAGATCGAGACAAGCAGCAGAGACAAAAAAAAGACAGACAGCAGGCAGACAGGACAAAAAAAGCACAAACCAAAGACACAGACAGACTTACATGCAGACAGCGACCGGCGCACGTACGCCAGGACCGAATAGAGGCGAGAGCGGCCGGTCCTGAAAGTAGACAAGCGGACGAGGCGAAAACGCGCAAGGAAACGCGTGCGAGCGAATGGGCGCGGTGCAGGCCAGTCCGGCGGGCGAACGAGCTGCTTCGGCGCTCGCTGGGAGGGGGACTTGGACAAGGGCGGGTCAGCTGGGAAGCAGGGAAGTAGCGAAGCAGGGAGCTGGGAAACTGGGAAGCAGGGAAGTAGCGAAGCAGGGAGCAGGCTAGGATACTTTGGCGATTCAGGAAGCAGGCAGCATGGTATACAGGGAGACGGGTATGTTGAAGGACAGAAAACAAGGGAGAGACGAAGGAAGGGAGCAATAGGAGTAGGCTAGGGAGAGTGAGGTGAGTGAGGTGAGTGAGTGAGTGAGTGAGAGTGAGTGAGTGAGTGAGTGAGTGAGTGAGTGAGAGGGAGGGAGGGAGGGGAGGGAGGGGGGGAGAAGGGGACGGGAGAAGAGGGAAAGGGGGGAGGGGCAGGGAGAAGAGGGAGAGGAGGAGAGGAATGCAGGAAAAGAGGGAGAAGAGAGGGAGAGGGATATAGAAGGAGAGAGAGAAAAAAGCGAAGGGGGGAGGGATGAGGTATACTCATAGGTGCACTTCTCAAGGGAATGCCAATAATCAAGACTTGAAGTGGTTGACTGAAGTAACGATGCTGAGGCCTTGGTTGTTTTCTTGTCTTTCTTCTATATATATATATATATATATATATATATATATATATATATATATATATATATATATATATATATTATAATTAATAATAATGTATTATAATAAACAAGTTTACAGCTTGAACTTTTTCTTCCGGAATCTGCGTGACATCCCTTGTCTTGCTCGCGCTCCTCTCGTGCCAGTTGTCATTTCAGCCGCGGAGTCACGAATCTCCGCCCCACACACCGGCCTCCACTCTTTCCTTGCCGTCCCTTTCCTCTCCTCCCCTCCACCCCTCCACCCCCTACACCCCCCCCTCCTCCTGCCTTCACCCTCTCCCTTGCCCGAGTCTTTTCTATATATATATATATATATATATATATATATATATATATAATATATATATATATATATATATATATATAGTATTATATATATAACATATACATACTACACACACACACCACACACACACACACACACACACACACACACACACACACACACACACACACACACAACACACACACATATATATATATATTATATATATAATATATATATATATATATATATATATATATATATATTATATATATATATATAATATGAAGAATAAGATACATGAACGGAAAAATATTTAGTTTTAGAGGTCCCTTCTTCCCTCCACCTACACCCTTCCCTCCCTCTCCTTCCCTTCCCCTGTCGTTTCCCTTCGCTTTCCTTCATCTTACCTTACCCTCGCCTTCCCCTCTCTTCTCTCCCTTCCATCCCCACTCTTTCCTCCCTCCCTTTGCTTTCCCTCCTTTTCCATCCCTCCCTTCCCTCCCCTCTCCTGCATCCCTCCTTCCCTCCCTCCCCTTCCCTCCTGCTCTGTCCCTCCCCTTCCCTCCCTCCCCTTTCCTGCTTTGTCCTCCCCTTCCTCCCTCCCCTCTCCTCCCTCCCCTCCCCTCCTCTCCCCTCTCCCTTTTCCCTCCCTCCCTCCCCCCCCCTGCTCTGTCCCTTCCCTTCCCTCCCCCCCCTCCTGTTCTGTCCCTCCCCTTCCCTCCCTCCCCTCTCCTGCTTCCCCTCCCCTTCCCTCCCTCCCCTCTCTGCTCTGTCCCTCCCCCTTCCCTCCCTCCCCTCTCCTGCCTGTCCCTCCTCCCGCCCTCCACCTCCTTTCTTCCCTTCGGCCATGTGCATGACTTTTTTGGCCCTCGGGCGATCCATACTCTGACCTCGCGGTTCGTAATTGAATGCCATGACAATATGTACCTGGCTTCTGCATGACTCCCGGATCGCGGCAGGCATGCGAGGAGCCAAGGGAGACACAGGCGCAGACACACGAAGGGACAGACACAAGCCGATCAGAGAGACAGACGACAGGCAGACAGCGTGTCTGGAGAACG